TTTTTGATGGTCAATATGTAATGAAAAAAATCCTGGCGTTTTAAACGTTTTAAAATTGCATATTTCATTAAATATACATATATACGTATTTCGTCCTGTAAAATGTTTACTTTCATTGCGTCTCCAAATGAATTTTCCACCATTAATTGGAATCTTTTTTTGTGGGAAAATCTATTGTACAAAAGGAGATATTTTTCTTGTTAACGTTTTATATACTCCAAAAACATAATATATTACATTATAATGTTGTACTTATCAAAAGCATAAGTAAAATAATGAACTTGAAAATTAGGTACGTGGGACGTCTTGTCGATTACTAAATGATTCATTATTCGATAATATAATACAGGATTGGCAATTATAGATACAATTGATGATTTTATATTATTACCACAACAATGATGAATTATAAGGATTATTAAATTATATTTTACATTTATGTAAAATACTTTGGTTATCCCAATAACGTCGTATGCGCCCAATTGGCACACGCGTCTAAATTATGGTAAACCCGTAAGGATATTATAGTTAATCGATTAACAAAAAGCCGTTTATAAGTTTTATACATCGATTTGTTTAAGTCACTAATGGGCGCTGTATGTTCGTATTCAAGCGATAGTGAATAAGTACGTTCGATAGTAATGATAATTTAATTAAAGTATAAAATGAGTGGCAGACTGGACGTGTTTTCGGTCGATTAATATGCAACATATTAAAAAAAAAAGTACAAAAATCGAAAAATAGATACAATTGATTGTTTGAATAACAATTAACCAAAATGGAAGAAAATTAAAAAAAAAATTGTTGACCGACCTGCGAAGTGCTACCCATGCACATGTCAATGTTACGTTTACTACAGGCGTAAATCAGCCTCTGAATGTTATTAAAACGTACTAGATTTACACCGTCGAATTTACGTATATTTATAATCCATTATATATTCATAAACGGAGGATTTAAGTGGGAAATGCGTTGTTCAAATCGGTTGTGGTGTTTAGACACTTGTACACTTAAGTGTATAACCATGCGTAATAATATTATATTATAATACTCGTAAATATTCGAACACACGTTTCTTGGTGATTTAATTGCATTTAAAATGTTTTGGTCTGTCACTGTACACGTTTATTTGACTTTCGATTATTATCGGATATTATAAAATATTATTATTACGGTACATATGATTAAAGTGGTGTTTAAAAGGGTTTTAAGTGGATCAAACGAAAAACATATTTCGCGTATTCCGTTTCGAATACGCGTTTAATTTATTATATTATTATATTATATACTTCGGAATCAATATAATAAATGCGTTATGAAACCAATGTTATAGGTATTATAATAACCGAATGTCAAAGTAGTTTTTTTAAAACTCGAAGCAAAATGGCCACGTTATATATATTATGTATAGTACAACGATTGAATGCTATTAATAACGCACTTTTACAAAATTTAATTGATTTGTCGATAAACACATTAAAAGTTTATGACTGTTTACATAAATATCACATAGGTACTTCACGACTGCGTTCGAAACGGATTAGATTTATTTCGAATTAAATAACAATAACGAATAACGATAACAATCTTAATAAAATGAAATGTTTTAAACTCTGTTTGTTATGACTTCAACAATATTATAATTCTGTGCGGAAAGCAAAATCGATATAGTTCTGCGTGAAGATGTTTGTACACATAACATATATTTTACGTTATAAACTCATACAACTTGTGTAAGAACATTAAAATAGAGATGAAACAAACACGTTTAAATAATCATACATTTTTGTTATTGTTCGATTTCAGTCTACCTAATCAAACGTTTGCGCAAAAAAAAATTACACATTATTTTATCATACCTAATATGTAAAATGTATATGAGAGGATGTAGTAAGGAAAGCGATAGGAGGAGCGTTATGGACTGAAGATTACAAGCACTGGATAGAGAAAACTGGTGGCAAGAATGTACGTCGGGATGATCCTAGTGACCGAGATTACCGAAGAAAAAAAAATGTGTACAGTGTAAACAAAACAAAATATAAGTAATTTATCAACATTCCATGCAGTGACGCATCTAGGGGTGGAGTTTGGGGGTCGTGACCCCCCCCCCGGAAATTTTTCCAAGGTTTTTACAAATTCTACGTAGGAAAAAAATGGTTTATCTTAAAAACGCGAAATGGCTGATTGATATGAAATATTAATATTACTCGTATTATAATTGATAACAATAATAAAATGACAATATGGAGCGTTTTGTAACGTTCCGTTCAACCTTAAAACATCAATAACCTTGCTATTACGATTCCTCGATAGTTGATTGTATAATACTTTTTTTGTGGTATCATAATATAAAATAGAAGTTAAACAATTTAATTTGTAATTTAAATATTTTACTCATAAACCTAACTTAATCTTACTTCCTTATCCCTACCAAACACTTGCAGAAAATGCTTATTTTTTCCAAATTCACAAAACACTTTCAATATTAAACAGACAACTAAAATAATCATAAGAAATTCTTTGGTTGAGAGTTGGAAAAAAAATACTTATTTTAAAATTATTTTCACTAGTAGAAATAGCAGATGTAGGAGTACTAGAATTTTCATAAAGAAACATTTTTTTTCCTTTTAATGGTTCTTTTTAACGAGTAACCGCTAGACAGATATAATAGCACTCGTTCGGTTTTCGAATTATTTATTTTATTACCCCAATCCCTGCAATAAGCATCGGCTGCCAATATGCGAACCGATTAACACATAATTTACATACGACATGTGCTGTGCCAACTTAGACGTGTACGCGTAAGTGATTAATTTCGATTATATCGTCTCAACAACTGTATTTGATCGCTATAATTATCGGAATAATTATTCGTGAAAATGGCCAAAATGTCTAGAATGTCATTGAAACCTGAATTTTAACGACTTGATGCCATAAAAATACGGAAACGTGCTAGCAAAACACTGGGAATATTTTCGAAAGCTGATTAAGGCGTTGAAGGGTCGGAGCGGATACGGTTTTCGTATGAAAAACTGTCTCATGGTATTTTTACAGGTCGAGTTGAACTTTTGTTTTCAATGTTTGATATTCTTAAAAATATGTTTACTAATATTATGTAGAGTTTAATCAAAAATTACGTATATTTATTTTAGCTGGGCGACAAGAACGACAGATATCATTTTGGAAAATAATGCCGTAAACTGAACAATTTACACTTTTACAAACGAAATATATAATGTCAGTTACCTTGTGATGCGAACAGTAGTTAGTTGAAAAACACGAATGAAAAATAATTTACCTATCTGCAACATTTAAGGCGTATACTCGTATTTATCCGAGGTATGTAACAAGTAACCAGTGGACCCTGGCATGTTTGTTGCTGCGAGTTTTACTTGTATCACAATATTATTCAAACGTCCCAGTGATTCGACCGATTTCTGTGTTTTCTAATATATTGTACGTCCACTTAATTTCTCATAGAGAAACATAAAAGAAAAAAATAGAAATTGATTTAACTTGAAATATTAATTTTTTGACCAGGGTAACGTGACTTCAGCATTTCGTTAAACAATAGTGAATATCCACTAATAGTTACTTAATGAAATCTGCATGGTATCTTTGCACATTCCTAAAATACTCTAAAATTGCCTGATTAATATTTATAGCTCTGTTTCAGTACTCCATGGTTCGTCAATTTCGTAAGATATATATTTATCAAACGAGCAACACAATGATGCTTGTTAATTGGTATAAAATATAATAATTAAATGTATATATTTAACATATATATATATATATATATATAAATACCTGATTATTGGATCAAAGCGTTCAACAATGATGATTCGAATGACAGGCAAAGATGATACACACGGACATACTTGATGTTGTTATGGTATTAAATTATTCCCGTAAAGATAGTAATACATCACCTGATGTTCTACACTTCATAATTGACTGTTGACTTTATGTGGTGTCTCATACCAGGTTTTACAATATTTTATATGAAAATGGAGAAGTGATAGGCTTCAATAAAGGAGCCATAACACTAAGAATAGGAGTATTTACCTTGGAAAGAAGATATAAAATAAGTAAGAAATGTAAAAAGTACTAAACATTTGAGAAAAAAAATGTACCTGCTTAATAGATTTATACCAAAATAAAAAATAGTTTGAAATTTAAAAAACATGATAAATTCAAAACTAACTTCTTGAGAATACAACTTGTATGTTAGGCATCAATCTAATTTTAGCACCTTGTTATTAGTTTTTAAAAATTAAGTTATAAAAAATATTTCTGAATTTTAATGTGAAGTAACAATAATTAATAATGTAATTTTAATTATTAATTATTAAAATTATGTGTACTATTTTTAAAAGGGCTCACCTACATAACAATAATAAAATAATAATAATAATAATTATCGAGTAGTTTCTTGGTTCAGTTGAGAATGCTACACATTGTTTTATATAATTGTTTTGTAGTAATTTAATGTTTGAAATCTAACTTTAGCTCTGTGCAACACCATCTGAATTATTTTGGTTCATTTTTCAAAACATACTGCATGTAACATTCTGCATTCGTCCAATAAGCTAAATACTTTGGTGTACGCTTAGCTTAAAAGCTTATACTTTTCAAAGAGTAAATATTAAAATACACATAATTTAATAAAAATTTTAAGAAAAATTTTAAACTAATTCTAGTTTAAAGCTAATACTCATCAATAAAAACTAGTTATATAAATAGTTATGATACAATTATAAACTATAATAATAATAAATATAATAATATTTATAACAATATATCAATAAAATTCATATTTATTGTTTTGTTTAAGTTATATTTTTTACATACATAAATATTTTGAATATTTCTATGTACTTAAGAAATATATATCAATGAAATCTAAAAATTTAAAACAGAAAAAGTAAACTAAAAAAAAAAGTGGAATGATTAAAAATGATTAACAAATAATTATTTTTACACAAATTCATTTTTTTTTAACTTAAACTTAAATAAGACTCATCCTTCAATAAGATTTCCCTGTAAAACAAAAAAATATATATATATATATATATATTTATTTATAAGTATATAATAATGAATATATTGAATATGTTATAGTAAGTTTTTTTTTACACATTCACCACATACCTTATTTTTTAAATATACAGTAAACTGACTGATTCATAGTTTTAAAAATGAGTATTCAACTGATTTTTTTGCTATTGATATTTGTTGACATTTTTTAATACACTTGATTAAAATTTGTTTAGGAATGGTGATTACATGTATTATAGAAAGATCAATTTAATACCATTAGCATTAGTCAGGTATTGACTTGTATTATATACAATAAATTTTAGTTTTAATGTGACTTACATTAAATTAAATAAATAACGTTTTAAATTTTTTTAAAAAAATGGTGAATAAGTAACCAGATTAAACAAAAACTTTCAAAAATATAAGGAAAAATTTCTGAAATTTGTTGAACATAATTTTCAAATTTCAATTTATACTATTGATCTATAAATTACATGGTAACGGATTTGTATTGGTCTTATGCATTTTTTTTAAGATCAAACATTCTTGTATTGACAGTTCACTTAAATCTATTTGGATATTACTCCCATTTACTATGAATAAAAAATATAAGAATAGTTAATCGTTAAATGGTTATAGCTAAGAGTATGTTTCCATTTATTGGATACTATAGTCCTAAAATTAAGTATGCAATTCACTAAGTGCACTTAATATCATGGTAAACAGTATAATATTGAAACTGTAGATCAAACATTATATGTACAAGAATAGAAAACAGGACCGTTAAGGGACATGCTTATCAATGTTTCATTTTCAGCATAGACTCAAGGTAATCAATTCCTATGACTTAACTATAACTTATTGGAGTTACAAACAGTGAATGTGTTAAACAAATTATGTATAAAACAATATTAATATATCATACCCATTCTCGAGCTATGATAAGAATCGTATGATTATTCAATTTTGGACCAACCAATGGATTCATTTGAGCCATGTAACAACACAGCCAACTGTAAAATAATATTAAAGTATTATAATAAGTTTGAAGTAAAATCAGTTAAATGGTAGTTAACCAATCATGGTTTGTAAATAATAACTGAATTTTAATATTTCGATAAAACTCCATATATTAACTACCATTAGGTAATAAGATTAAAAGATATGTTTGATTTTATCATACTTACAACAGATAACAGGTTGCTGCCGTCATCATCAACATGAGTTGTTGAACTCTGGAGAAAATAAAAATATTAGATTTAAGAACAAACTTTGGTCAGCAAATATAATATTGATTGATAAACGTGACATAGTCTTACCCTCTATCTGGTCCTTTGGGAAGGAGGAATGGTAATACAATGCCGACCACACCCCATAATGAAGTAAAAATTAAAACTGGTAGAAAAGCAGCTCCCATGATCGTGTGATGAATAGATTTTCTACAAAACGACAAGCATAAGGATTAGAACAATTAAATTTAAAACGATCTAGAACGCATGGAACGGCAAAACGACAGGTTACACGAGTCATTCGTTGGGCTAATTACTTGACGTGAGTACAAAAGATTCGCCTTACCTTTGATAACAGCTACGAGTGAAACGGTCAAGGAACGTCCGGTAATACTTTTGGAAAAATTACTTGTTTGGAACACTCGAGCCCTTGGGGACTGAGGATATTCAGGAGTCGAGGACAGTATTTTTGGTTGAACGCCTTAAATCTTTGTATAGCTGTTAATAGATTATATTATTTTCAATATCACTATTCCAGCTGATAAAATGTAAACATCGCTAAACGTCTTTGACATACTTAATGTATGTTCTCTTTGGATGACCGAAAACTGTGGTGTAAAATGGTTTTTTTTTTGTTGCTTTTATTAAAAAAACATCAAATAAGCAGTACAATTGCCACTCAGGTACTTAAGTGTACATATTTAGTGTTGTTTGCATTCGGAAGAACATTTCACCGTTTGACTACGATGATTATATTTTTGTTAAATTCAGTCTTTGAATAATATTCTACCGTAAGATGTCGCTATCAGTATCTATATATATATTTTCCATTTCATAAAAAAAAAAACGAGATTTATGCAGCCCAAAATCATGACTGAAGATATACTTTATGTAGAGTTATTATATTTTATTGAACAAAAATCGGGATAATTTTTTTAAATTTTTTTTTTTAATCAACATACATTTTTATTGATTTTTTGATTATGCAGGTTCAATTGTTACAAAAATATATTTATTTATATGATTATTTACTTTTGTGGGATACTGCATATCACATGCTTCCCCCCCGTAAATGTACGGTACTTTCCCACGAGGTAGAAGTTCTGGAATAAACATTGACTAGGTTACTGGTTACTAGGTTACCGACACTGACCACGGTGTTCTAAAAATAAGTTTAAATTAGCAGACCGTGGGCAGTGCCGTCTTAAGGCATGGGCTCATAGGTCCATTGTAAAACATTTGCGAAATTTTATCATATAGATATTAATGAAAATGAATTGATTTTAGAATGTATACACTTAAAAGCGTATCTATCGGAACTTAATATTTCTGAATTAAGTATTTCTACTACATACAAATGTTTAAAATCAAATAGACTAGAAGAAACATTTCCAAACATAATAATTTATTTCCGAATTTTTTATCAATGATGATTACCAATTGTAGTGGGGAACGTTCATTTTCTAAGTTAAATTCAATTAAAGAAGAGCTTAGAATGACCATGAGCCAGAAACGGTTAAACTCTTTATCTTTAATGAGTATTGAACATGAACTACTATCAAGTTTAGATTATGAAAATATTATAGAAGACTTTGCGAATGAAAAAGCTAGGAAGAAACCATTAAAGAGTATTTAATAACTGACAAATTTAAATCAATACTTATATTTTTTTTTATTACGATTATTTTAGTTTTTGTTTAATGAATTACATTTATTTTTTAACAATATATCATATTAATGTATAAATAATTAATATCTTGACGTTTTAATTAATAGAAAAATATTTTTTGACGTATAGGCATATATTTTGAAATTATAATAAACACTGAAGTAACAGAGATTTACACACAAATTCACTTTTTACTAATAAAGTATGATATTTATTAAATAATAATACATTATGTGTTAAAATTAGGGTGCTCAGACATCCTGTATTTTACAAGAACATACTGTTTTTTGATCAAGTGTCCTGTGTCTTGGGATAGAATGAAAAAACATGAAAAATGTCCTGTATTTTCTTGACGTTCTGTTTAGTTCTTCGTATCATTAGTTTTCATCATTATATTAAGAATTAAAACAGTTAACAGTCAAAAAAAAAAAAAATTGTTTTCTTCAAATTATCACACTGGTGACTACTGACTTTATTAATTTATTCTGTGGTTATTAATATCACAAACCATGGATTTATTTACATCCGTGTCAACTATGATTACTATCGCTATTCGATTGGTACTTTTATAATACGAGTATTTATTATTATCCGTTGTACATTATCTACAGACTACAATTTATTTATACCAAGGTCTTAGATTAAACATTGTTTTATCCTGATTTGAATTTCGTTATCATAAATCAAAATTTTCACATTGTAAATAACGAATTATGAATTAGTTATTACCATAACAAAAAAAAAATTTTTTTTTTTATTTAAATGTAGATTTTATTTTATGTTAACAATTGAAAATTAAAATAGGAATTATTTTTTTTATGAGTTCACCATGACGTAACGAAAATGTGTTTTCAGAGAATCGTTACAAAAACAATATAGTTTTTTAAAAAAGTGCTCTAGAGAAGGTGTTAATGATAAAATAGAATGTATAGTATGTGGTGCTGTATTCAGTATAGAGAATGGTGGACAGTCAGTTATAAAACAACATTTGGACACAAAACGTCATAAGTCTGCAACTAGTTCATCTCAGAGTATAAAAATTAATGATTTTGTTTTCATTGAATACATTTGGATCAAATGAGAAATGACTAGCAGCAAATGAAGGTACGTTTGCTTATCATATCTGTAAACATAGTAAAAGTTTTCGTTCAATGAGTTTTGATATTATTCGTAAATTATATGACAAAAAATTTAGTTGTGGTCCTACTAAGACAAAATCAATTATTTTTAATGTTTTAGCTCCTTTTACGAATGAAATTTTAAAAAAAAAAACTACAAGATATAAACTTTTTAACAATAATGATAGATTCTTCGAATCATAAAGATTTACCATAAAAATTATACCAATACTCTTTCGATATTTTTTCCCAGATAAAGGACTAAAAACTGTTATTTTAGAATTTATGGATTTTCCAAATGAAACATCGGAACAACTTACTAGTTATATATTAAATGTTTTAAAAATTTGGTCAATTGAACATAAGTTAATTGCTTTATCTGCTGATAATACCAACACAAATTTTGGTGGATCATCAAGACGTGGTAAAAATAATGTGTATTCTAGATTAAAGGACTCTATCGGTAATGACTTAATAGGAATTGGTTGTTCAGCTCACATAATAAATAATAATATTCATACAGCTGCAGATACATGCCGATTTATATACAAATCATAATTTCAAATTTTTTCAATATTTTTATATTTATTCTTTCAAAGTTGAAACACTAAAAAGTTTTTGTGAATTTGTGGATACTGATTATAAAACTATTCTGAGCCATTCAAAAACTCGTTGGCTATCATTATATCCAGCTCTTACTCGTTTGATTGAAATGTTTGAAGTATTTAAGTCATATTTTCTTTCTATTAGTAAATGACCAGTTATTTTAAAAGATTTTTTTCAAAATCCATTATCTCTATTAATAACTCAATTTCTTCATACACAAAGTGAACTATTTTATTCAGTGATTAAAAAAATAGAAGCGGAACAAATATCTGTTTTTGAAGTAAAATGTATAGTAGATTCATTAATTTCCACGATTCATAGCCGGTTAACAGGTTATTTTCTAACAACCAAAGAAAATACTTTATTTAATATTTTGAGAGATGATGTTTAATTACAACAAAACAATATGACAATTATAGAAATACATTTTTAAATACTTGTCTAGATTACTTACAGGAATGGTCTAATCCAATTATTGAAAAATTTGGAAAAATCAATTGGATACCTAACATTAAAAAATATAGAGACAAATTTTGTTTGAGATAATATCTTAAAAACATTAGAAATAATACATTCTGTGAGTTCAAGCTTTACCATAAATAAATCTGAGTTGTTTGATGAAATAATGCTGATTCGAAACTGCTTCTTATATAAAGATACGCAACAAAAAATTAAGGAAATGCGTAGTTTTGAAGAAATTTGGTTATATGTGTTTAAATTTAATACAATTGAAATTAAATTGTTAAATTTGAAAAAAATTGTTTAATTTTTTATGTGTATACCTGGAACTAATGCTAGCATAGAACGTATATTTTTTCTGATGAACACAACTTGGACTGATGAAAAAAATAGATTCCATGTTACCATTGTTAAGTCAATGTTAATAGTAAAAACATTTTTTAAAGAAACATGTTGTGAATTCCATAATCTGCTCCTAAAAAATGAAGATTTACAAAAAAAAAAAATAATTATCAAAATTTGACAGGGTAAAATACAGGAAATATGTGTTATTTGTTTTTTATTTATTTAAATGTCTTAAACTTAAAATTTTATAAAATTTAATTTTGTTGAAAATATTTATTTAGTTTTATTTTTATTAGTCTTTATACTTAAATTGTTACATTTTCTATAAACATTAAAGAAAATGTGAAAAGTTATAATATTTCATGATATAGATAACTTATATTAGTTGTTAGTAAACTCTAGCATTAATGCTTTAAAGGTTAAGTACATTAAAATGAAAAGTGATTATATTTTCATTGATAGAGAAGGGGGTATATTATGTTAAACTAAGCTTGTCCTGTATTTTTATTTTAAAAATCTGAGCACCCTAGTTAAAATATGTATATATGTATCATAATTTAGTATTATAAGGCCTCCGAAAAATGTTGGGCCCAGGGCCACATAAGACCTTAAGACGTCTCTGACCGTGGGTATGACTAAGCTACATTACTGTACTACAGTGATAGGTTTTTATTTTTAAATTTATATTTTTATACTCTTTCAATAATTTTTAAGTATAATATTGACATATTTATACATAAATAAAACATATAAACAATGATTTCTATAAGAATATTTTTAATTTAAAAAATATACTTTTTGATATGTATTTGAACTTTTTGTTTGGTGTTGATACCCGATATACTAAAAACCTACGTTAGAGCGCTGCACTTTTATTTGCTCTGGGCATCAAATTTCCTAGATCTAGCATCGAAATCGAAATCGAGTCTGCTCTTGATATACAGGAATCCTATTTATTTACGTCTAAAGAATACCAAATGCCAATAACTAAAGATAAAAATTTTAATACTGATAGGAAGCGTCACAATAGTAATATGAAGAATGTACCGGAATTAAAAGTTTTGAGAGACACGGTTTAAGAAAATATACCACTAAAAAAAAACAAATTACGAGTTAACTAATAACTATATCATATTTGAAAGTATTAATTATTATTTCATTCTAAGAAAATATTTTTTTATTTTTTAACTTCAAAAAATCGCGATCGAACATGATCAGAATAATAATTTTAATATAAGAAGTACATTTGTTTTTGTTATTTTTGTATTTGATACAGCTCCTCGTAAACTTTAATCTAAATTAATTTTAACATCTAAATTCAGAA